TAAGTCTTAATCATGGTTTTCTATCTTCTGATATAACAAGCAGAAAAATTAAATTAAATTGAACTATTATAAAACACTGATTTGCATATTAACATATAAGTAAGCAAGTACTTAGTTAAGATAAAAGAATAATATAACTTAGAGGTGAATAACAATTTGATTATAAGCACTAGCATTTAATCTAGATAATGAGAATTATAATAAATTATCTGGATTATGGAGATCTAGATTTGAAATGTATAGAAGGATTTTTACTTTCAATGATGAACTGGAATATCAGCTTAATTATATAAAATGATAACATATTATGAATCATTCTTTTGAATGTGTTATGCCACAATTTTATCTTCTAAATTCTAATCATTTCATCATTTAGATTTTCAAACTACAAATATCGTTAAAAAGGATTTTTAAGCTCATTAATTATTAATTATAAATGAGGGAATATATTGTTTTATCATTTTCAATTCTAAATTTGGTTAATATTTAATCACTTTATATATAGGCATAGTCACTTTCATCTACCTCCTTGAACACACTATTACCCATAACTTTAAGAAATTAAGCAATCCATAACAAGACTGAAAATAATTTAGAGTAGTGCGCTTAAATCGAAAGCCAATGAAATTATAATACTCAAATACTCAATTTGCAAATATATCAATAAATTATGCAAAAAATACATATATATTTCTAAATTTAGATCTATCATTTAAATAATTGATTTTAGAGTATTTTTCCAATAACTGAAAGCAACAATCATTGAAAATTAGATGTAATAATGCAATCTGTAATGAATGTGATATTTTTAAAAAATAATACACATAGTAGGAGTTCATGAGCAGTTGTAAATATGGTAAATTTTTCTCGGTATATATTTACTGTTATAATGTTCTAATTGATCCTCCTTAGAAAATTTCCATAACCCAAATCACTGCTTAACTCTCCAAGCTTCTATTCATATGCAGAGACATCTTATAAAGAAGAATAAGTTAGATTTCATTTATTTGTAACTGAACAGACCCCCTAATTCTGTTTAATTAGAGAGTTGCTTGCTAACGGCGTTTTCATTTTGTAATTTGCAAATCCACCTAATTTATTATAGCTTTATTATTCAATTTTTTCATAGTCTCCATATTTAGAGAATCTTGAATTGAATAGTTAGAAAAAAGAGGTTTATTATTTCTTGTTGAAAAGCTGTCAATTATAAATTGAGCTATTAGAGGCTATTTATCATTTGATGACATTGCCCCTATAAGTAGCCCTGATTATATATTCTAGAAGGTTAAAAGAATTTACTTGAATAATTGAAATTACTCAGATTATAGATTCACAAATTTCAGACTCATGATCCAAGAAATACATATTTAATCGATGCATTATCAAAAAAATATATTTTTGTTAAATCCGAATATATGATTAGGATAAACCTAATTTGAGTAACCTGTTTATGTAAGGATGGATGATACTATTTTCTTTGTTTGGAGGTACAATATACAGGATATTCTAATGATTGATTATGAAAGACTAAATCAGATAATAGTAGTCCTAGCGTATCCAGTGATATTGAAATCTGCTTTTTTTATTTATATTTCTTTCCTTGCTCACACTCATGCACTGCAAGTGTCAAAGCTCTTTGATTGTACATTTTGAATTTGACTGCAACAAAACCATTCAATTTTTCATGTATTTGCTCTGAAGGATCAAATAATTTTAACATCGTGCATCAAAGTTAAATACTAATAATTATAAAGGTACCATCACTTCATTTATATAAAAATTATGATAAATGTTAGTGTTTTCATATTCTGTAGATAATAATTAAGATCTATGTATTTAAGAACAGGTTAAAATAATGAAGATTTCATATGCAAAGACTTTTAATTCCCATGTGAACATTGTGTATGCTCCAATAAAAAAAAAATTTATAAAAGTCTAAGATTAATTAAGCTAATAGCCTGATACCTGTGCATGCTAGCCAGAATTTGTGGATAATAAATTTAATTTTGAGTTCCTTGCCAGACCTAAGGCTAATTCATGATCCAAGAGAATTCTATTTTGGAATCCTTACTAATTGCTAAATATTAACTAATTTATTTCTAAAAACTTCACTTCAATAATTATGAATTTTTCCTACTATAATAAATACTATGATGAAATATTTCTAATATTTTCCTTTGGGCTTGACTCTATATAATAGGGCATTATTAATCCTAACTTTATTAATAACCTTACTTGAGTTCTGTTTAAATTTATTGATGTGGCCAAAAGGTTATTAATCATCTAAATTATATAAAATTAAACCTTCAAGATATATATAACTGCTTTTGTGCTAATGTGAGGAATTCTTTCAAAAACAATCCAAATTTATTGAATAGCATATATTCACATAATTCTTTGCCTACATAACTTTGTTTAATCCAAAATTAGCAAAATCCAGATGAAAAATTTCTATCATTATTATTATATAATCTAATTGCTGTTGAATGTTTGGATCGTCTAAAAGTGCACTAAGCCTAATTGCTGCATAGGATATCATAATTATTAAGGAGTGCTGCAGTACAATTAAAAAACTGCCACAAGTTGGAGTAAACTAGAGATTTTATTTTATTTAACAGTTATCTTTTATAACATAATTTCGCAGCTGATATAAGTTACCCAAATAGATCACTAGGCTATTTTTTATGTCAAAAGAATTATTTAATTAAATGAAATTGAGTGGTAGATTTAAAATTTTGTTTAATATAAATATCATAATTATTAAACAATTTATATAAAATAAAATCAAGTAAGTGTGTCAGAAGATGCCCTGTCCTCTATAATGTGCAATACATATAATTAGTTAAAAAGCAGCATTGAAATATTAAATTTCATGTAATATTTTCCATTTAAGTTTTATTACTTTAGAAATTTATTTAATATATAAATAATTATTTATCTTTGGATGTCCTCTGCAATGCATATTCATATTGGAGGGGCTGGTGTAATGATTGGTGATATGTTGTGGAAACTATATGAAGCAGAGCACAATGAAACAACTCAGAAAAATTATATTTATGAGTAAGTTGATGGGAATCATCACCCACTTGCACTTTTCGCTGATTTAGATGACAGAATGATACATGAAGTTTAAAGGAATACATAGGTACAATTTAAGATGAACTCATTTTTATCAGCAAAAAATGATGAGGGTGGATTAACTTATGCTAGAGGTAAATATGGTCCTGGAAATATGATTCGTGATTAAGCATTAGAATCCATTAGAAAATAAATAGAAACGATGGATCGGTTAGATGAATTTGTGATAACAAGTTCAATTAGTGGAGGAACTGGGTCAGGATTTTTTGCTTTGTTATCGGACATGTTAGAAGTTGATTTTGGTAAAGTAAGATAAAATGGATTTATAATATTCCCATCTTCTGAGATGTCAAATAATACTGTTGGAGTTTATAATGCTGTGCTCTCGTTTTATAGAATGAATTATTATTTTGACAGCATCACAATGTTTGATAATTAGTCTATGTACAATGTTATTGATCATCAACTAAATTTAGATTTTGTTGATTATAAGCATTTAAATAATTTGGTTGCTCAAGTAATTAGTTCATACACTGGATTAAGAAGATTTAACTCTTGTGATAACTCTAAGTTTTTTTTAAATATGTGCCCTTATCCGAGAATCCATTATTTAATTCCATCATATAGTAAACTGACTTTAATAAATGATTACAAGAGAAAAGAATTAGATCAAAGATAATTCATTAAAGATATCACAAAAAAAGAGTAAAGACTTTTTTAATGTCCTTAAAATCGTCGACATCTCTGTACAATCTTATTACTGAGATAAAAAGAATTGAACAGTTTTTATGGTAAATTCAACAACAGACTAACAAACCTAGATCATGTATTTGCCTAAAATACAAATATTTTTTAATGTAAATCCTCAAATTACTAAGTATTACCTGAACTTGCATAAATGAAACAAACAGGAACCTTCTTCTCTAATGATAGTTCAATTTTGAGTAGATTTAAACTATTGGTCTAATAGTTTGATAAAATTTTTGCAAAAAGATCTTTTA